CTATCTATCTATCTATCTATCTATCTATCTATCTATCTATCTATCTAATCTATCTATTTACAGTATCTATCTATCATCTACCGTGTTTCTCACATAATAAGGCCGGGCCTTATTTTTTTTTGAGCCCCGAAAAAACGGCTAGGCCGTCTTTTCAGGGGGGTGACTTAATTCCCCCCCTTGCATCCTCGCCAACAGCCGCTCCTAACGGGTGATCATGGCGAAGCGCAGAGAGCTCCCTACTCCCACCTTTGCTGCAGACACCTTTGGCACCCGCCACTGTTGCTTTCCCTTCTGCCCATTCCACCACCACGTTTGGAGCTGCCGCTTCCGTGTTTGGAGTGCCGCCGCCATTTGGAGCTCCAAACGCGGAAGTGGCAGCTCCAAACATGACGGCGGGCGATCTTTTTATTTTGGTCCGCGCGAAGTTCAGAGCGAGCAAGAGAGGGAGACTGCGATGCCTCCATCCGAGATGGCAACCTCACTTGTGGATCACAACGTGGCTGGAAGCCCGAATCGGCGGGATACGATGGCAATCTTTTTGGAGCGAGAGGAAAGGGAGAGAAGAGTTGCAAGGCGTAATTTGCAGGAGGAAGTGGGTGTACCCCACGGCAGGGAGCCCAAGGAAGAAGGGCCGGTAGGCAACGGAGAGCGTCCCGTAGCTCCGGAAGCAGCCTAGAGACGCGCCCGGGAAGAGGTGCAGATGCTGCCTTGTAGTCCCCAAACCAACTGCGTGCGCCGCCTTTAGTTATGTGCGCTCCGCGCTTTGGGCATCTCCGTGTGATCGCGACCCTGTCCTTTCCACCTGGCGCCCTTGCTGCTTTCTGGCTCTTTAGCAACCGGCTTCGCGTTTGGAACACGTTCGCGTTTGGAGTTGGTTTGGGGACTACAAGGCACAAGCTGCCACTTCCGCGTTTGGAGCTCCAAATGGCGGCGGCACTCCAAACACGGAAGCGGCAGCTCCAAACGTGGCAGCGGAATGGGCAGAAGGGAAAGCAACAGCGGCGGGTGCCAAAGGTGTCTGCAGCAAAGGTGTTTGGTGGGAGTAGGGAGCTCTCCGCACTTCACCATGATCGCCCGTTAGGAGCGGCTGGTGGCGAGGAATTCCTGCCCGCCGGGCGCTCCTAACGGCAAGTCTCCCGCCCTTCCCCCTTATTTTGCATATTTTAAGATAGGCCTAAATTTGGGGGGAGAGGCTTAATTTGATTTTATGCCCAAAAAACATGCTGGGCCTTCCTATTGGTGGAGGCCGTATTGTTGGAGAAACACGGTATCTATCCATCCATCCATCATGTTCCAAGAAGAGAAAGTCCCATCACCCTTGTTACATTAAAAAGGGAAAGATGAAAAGAGAAAAGAACTAGTACCCTAACAAAACTATTCAAGCCAACAGATTCAGAGCAGAAAAGGAAGAATTTTGGGGGAATTCTCTTTGATTGAACTCCTGCTCCATTCCTCTAGGCTCCTGAGAGGAGTTGCAGAGCTGGCATGTCAGCATTTTATCTATTTGCTCAAGAGCCAGAAAAGTTATGGCATGAACTCCTCTAATATGGAAATGAAAGCAGGATGTTTTTTGGAGAAAAAAATACCTTCCATTTACTAAAGCTGGAAATAAATTAGCTCAGCTTTGTAACGTGGCTTGACATTGAGGGATCATGAGAACCCAGAGCAGCTTTCAAACCAGTGCAGGATCACTAGGCTTATATGGAAGTGCCTACAGTTTCATTGGATTCAAGACTGATGTTCGGTTGACCTGCTTTCTGTTCTCATAGCAGCCAACTTCAGCTTTGTACCCAAGATGGAATATGGCATTGAAGAAAAAGGAGAAAAAAAGCACAAGCTACCAGATGATGCAGCTGTCACCCAGTTCTTTAGTCACTAACCTTTTACAACAGCAGAAGATATTTATAGGACTCTCCTCTTCTAATCTGTATCTTCCAGAGTTTGGCAGATCTTTGCACTGGGCTATGAATGAATGAAGTTCTGTCTCTGGAAAACCTTCACACTGGTAATGCTAAAAAAAAAAAAAGTTGTTATGTTGTAGAACAACTCCAGTGGATATTAAATGGCTATGAAAAACACAATTTTTAAAGAAGTATTGGATGAGGGAAAATAAGGAAGGCCAGACAGGGTTTCTCTTGGTGAGTTAGAAGCCATCAAATAAGTAGAAAACGGAGGTTCTCGCACCCTATTTCTCATCTTCCTTCTCCTAAGATTCCACATAAGATTGGAGATTCGGGTGGACTTGTAAACTGCATTTTAACTGGTTTAAAGCACTGGTAGAAATGACAGGGGAACACAACTTGGGGGCTCAGGACTCCAGGCAGACTCTAATTGCCTTGAAGGAAATACTCAGATCTCCTCCAAATGATGCTGCTAAATTGTTCATATGAGAGGAAAATTCTGAAATCAAAAAGCAAAGTCATCTTCTCCAACTCTTTGTGATTTACATGGATACATCCATTCAGTTTTATTGCCCAGTAATGCTAAGAATGTGATGTGGTTCTACTTCCAGGATGGTTTTTCAACTTCCCACAGCGCTGGATTTTTCAACTGGTCTTCAATATGAAAGCTAACCAGAGCCAAACCTGCTTTGTCCAATCGTAAGTTAGCTACTGGTAGGTGCTGATGGCTGCTAAGGCAGTTATTAAATACATAGAGAGGGAGTAATCATAGGAACTGTGTTGAATTAAATGTCCTTGTAATTCAATTTAAATGTAACATTAACTTAAAATTTTGTCTTGTTCCCTGGGGTCTTCTCATGTCGGTATTGCAGGAAGGGTGCTTGATGGCTTTTCATTTCATTTCATTTTTATTTTTTTGTACTCGGTTTAGGGCCTACAGAGGACATTAGGAAGTTGGAGCACCCAAACTATTTTCTGAGGAGATTCCCTCATATTACAGATTAGACAATGGAAAGGGAAAAACAATTGTTATCATAGTTAATGTTGCCCAAGAGAAATTAAACATAGAAGTTTAGATTAAAGTAGAGTTGGGAAATTAAGCAATAGGTTACAGCTTTAAACCACATTCTTGGTCATTCTTTAGTACCAGTCCCACCATGCTAACAAAGAAAATTTAAACACAAAAACTTGTTTTCACTACAGGAGGAATGGAATAAATCAGGGGTGTCAAATTGGTGGCCCACAGGCCGGATGCATCAAGCACAGGCCACACCTACCCCATGACGTATCATGAGTTTGACACCCATGGAATAAATGACACTGCATCGTAATGTCATCATGCAAATGATCCTTTCTTGCTTACTTGCAGTAAATATGAACTTAACAGAGCTCTGTGTCATTTGTATGCTGATGTCATGATGTCACACTAAATTCTTTCAAAGGTGTAGAATATCTCTGTATGCATAGAAGACTAATGAAATGAACAAAATCATTTGATATTCAGAAAACTATTTCAGAACTTTTTGAAATTCACATTAAAAAAATTAAACGTAACATCCTATAGTAAACGTCTATGTACCTTCACTGTTTCATACGTGTCCGTAATTAGGGCAATGAAGAGACTCAGGACCATGTAGATAAAGAGGCTAATGAAAGAGTAGAGGTAGATCCGACTGAACAGCCATACCAGGTAGCTTTTCTGTTGCATTTTTGCAAAAGTAGCAAACATGTCATCTCCATTTATCAAAGAGAAAAGACATTCAGAAACCATATTCAAGGTGTGGAACTAGAAGAGAACAAATATTCAGAAACCAACAAATAAAAGAAAATTATTTCAATTTTTGCTCCAGTTGTTTAAAAAATACTGGCCAAATACAATAAACTACAAACAGATGTTTGTGAACATGTTTTACTCAATAACAGCATTTGAAAAACTGGATATTACAATATTTTATGAATGTCTGCAACAATGTCTCAGTTAATAGAGAATATATACTTATACATGAGAACTCCAGATTCTGGTGAGAATGTATAGTTATATAACTAAAAAGATATAATTAACCCACATTACGTATCTGATATTAGCACAGTTGAGAAAGTCCAGAAATATTTCACAAGAAGAGTTCTCCACTCCTCTATTCATTGTAGAATACCTTATGCCACCAGACTTGAAATTCTAGACCTAGAAAACCTTGAATTACACCATCTTCGGTCTGATCTAAGTATGGTATATAAAATCATACATTGCAACGACTTACCTGTCAATGAATACTTCAGCTGCAACCATAACAACACAAGAGCACACAATAGATACAAACTCAATGTTAACTGCACCAAACTTGATTGCAGGAAATACGACTTCAGCAACAGAATGGTCAATGCCTGGAATACTCTACCTGACTCTGTGGTTTCTTCCCCAAACCCCAAAAACTTTAACCTTAGACTGTCTACTATTGACCTCACCCCTTTCCTAAGAGGTCTGTAGGGGGCGTGCATAAGCGCACCAACGTGCCTACCATCCCTGTCCTATTGTTTCTTTTACTGTATTTTTCTTATATGTACCCATTTCATGTATTCATAACTATGTATATACTTATATCTATTATCTTGTAAGTGATTGACAAATCAAACAAACAAACAAACAAATAAATAAATAAATTGGCCTGTTCAGATATCTCGGCAGCAGTCTCATTTTGTTAACATTTGCGCAAGACACTTCAGATACAAAACTAGATGACAAACATCCCAATCACAGTACCTTAGCATGATATGGTCCCAGCACAATCCAGCCACAGAAGCAATAACCCAGATAAATCATAGCTGCACAGCAACAAAATCGAATGACATTGGGCAATGCTGCACGGAGAGTCAAAATAAGCAGCTGAAAAACAAGGCCCGACAAAAACCCAAATATGCTCATTAGATTTTTCCAAAGTTATTCAGTACCACCAGACAATAACAGAAATAAATACCAAGAGCATGAAGGTCCCAGAAGGTACTTACATTATATTTCTGGAAGAAGCTGAGGTATCGGATCATTCCAAGCCACACAAGCATGGTGGAAGTTCCTAAGAGGATACTGCAGACATCATAGCTTGTCAGACTCTATATGAAGATTAAGATGATGTTCAATAAGTGACACTGACTGAACTTCAGGTGAGATGCCCAGAAGAAAAGAACTTTCATATTCATTTTAACACTTGGGGACACCATATTTTCTTGACTTTTGATACTGAGACGGGTGGCATATAAATAAATATTTTTGCTGGATTAGCAGATAGGCAAGACCATCCCTGGAAGGTGAGTACACCTTATGACATTAAAAAAATTGAGTAAAAAATTACAGAGGGCTGTTTCCTGATGGACAAAGAGCACAAGTGAGCTGCACAATAAGTTAATAGACTTTTGATGATGTGCACAGATACTGCTCATTCCTAATTTATAATGCCATTACCATGGATAGGTAAAATATACAGCTAGAAAAGTCCTTTCTCTGGAGAAGCAGTTTTCTCAATCTGACCATTTCTCCCAGCTGAAGACTCGACTGAACTACGAAAATAAGAAATTCAGGTTGGCCAATAAGATTTAAATTTGGACTTCCAAAACTGGAACATAGGTCATCTAATCAGCATGCAAGTCACTTACCTTAGCTTGTATCTCCATCTTTAATGTAGAACCAACTATGGTAAGAAGGTCGCTAACGATGATCATGATATACCATCCATTGACAAATTCCATCAGATCAGAGAAAGATACTTCTTTTTTATAGTGATCTTGGAAAAAAGTCACAAATTCCTAAGATGTGTGTGTGGACAAGAAAAGAGAAATTGCTGTTGAGAAGCTGCAATTACATTTATTAAGAGATACTGACAAACATAAGCTTACCCTTTGTAGATGAATTCCTTTAATTACAGATCGTGTACAGAGAATCAATGATGCAAGACATGTCAGTATGACAAAGCCATCAAAGATCATCATGTAGTGGGTATTCTTCTGTACTGGGAAAAAAAGATTGATTTACTTATCTATGCATAATAGTTAACCTGATACACTCTGAGGACACATACTCATTTGTGTCTGTAGGGGAATTTTCTTCGTGAAATTGCCTTGCTAATAATGGAGAAGAGGCTTCCATCTTACTTAATCTTTCAATACATGTCATTGAAAAAGGGAGCGGTGGATACTTAAAGGGTTCAGAGCCATCAAAAAGAATGAATGCTTCACATCTTTTGGTAGTATAAAGAGAACCCCTCCTCTCAAGTTAGTTGTTTGCATTTGGGGCAAATTTTCCATCGTGGATAATTCCCTTCTAATATACTGTAAATATTAACCATATAGAAAGGGATTTTTAAGGACTATAGGAAACGATGAATGATGTAACACACATTCATATTCAAACTGTGTGCTCAGTTGACGTATACATTTTAAAAACTCCAGTTACTGCAGATTATCGCAAATACTGTATTCATGCATTTCTAGGCCTTCAATAAAACCACTAAGCACTAAAGAAGTAAAAACAAAAGTATATTTTTTTAAAAAAACTTACTTGATCCAGAAACATGCCAGTCTTTACATTCCTTGATGGCAATATCATTGTCTAGGCTTATTTTAATTCTTCCACTATGAGCTTTGTTATCAAAGACTATCTGTAGATATTGTGGAGGTAGAAAAGATGCTATTACTATTATTTCTAAACACGTCTATCCCTCACTAATTCAGATGTTGAATTTGAGAATTATCCATCTAGCAAATAAAAACATCTGAACAGTTTAGGCCAAATGCTTGGGTAATAAAAGCAATTATCTATCTATCTATCATCTATCTATCTATCTATCTATCTATCTATCTATCTATCTATTTCTCAAAGAAGACATAAATACTTATAGTTGAAGCTTGAACTATAGCTTGAAGTATATCTTTGAAGCAGTATTGGCAAATAAGAAGCAAATCCTGTAGAAAACAGAAAATGCTTAAGTTTTTTTTTTTTGCACATGCATTTAGTTCTGTCAGTGTACCATTCTTACCAAAATCTAAGTAGTTTAAAAGTAAGATGGAGAAATAAAGACTATATTTGAATAATTCTAAAACAAAACTTAACAAACTGTGAGAGAACATAACCCAATTTCTCCATCTTTTATAAATATTGTTTTATAAATGTTGCTATTCTTATCACTATTTGGGTTTTATTGCACTTTTCCATCTGAGGAGTATTCAAGATAACTACCAGCCACCATCAACAAAAAAGAAATAGAAACAAACTTTAAAATTAGAATACATAAGCAAAAGTATTGATATTAACACAATTCAAAAAACGAACACTGTCTAGAAATATGTTTTGAACTTACTAAAAGGAGAAAAGGTGAATTACTGAATGGGTATTTGCAGCTGTGGGCAGGCAAGTTTCGCAATAAAGCACTGGTGCCTGCCTCTTGATGTAGATTCAGCTTCATAATTTCAGCTTCATTCTCTACTTCTCCTAAGTTAGTAATACACACTGCAACAGTCCACTTTAAGAAGTTGACACAATCTAGGCCCATTTCTCCCATCCAAACCTGCCCTTCAGAAAAAGACTAATTACAAGTCTTCATCAGGAATTTTTACTTGCTTTTCTACTCATCATGCTATCTAGTTTATCTTCAAATAAACAACCAAGCTCAGAAAGTTTCAAGGACTCTATATTTTTAACTTACTGTTAGTGTGAAATCATAGCAGTCTGGGAGTTCGTGTTGTCGAATAGTCTGGAGATTAATGGCCTTCAGTTTGAACGTGAGTTTCAGAGTCACAAGTCTAGAACAGAGACTGAAGCTTTATTTCACCATTACCAAAAATATTCAAGAATACCAGCAACTTTTATTTCTCCTCACCTATGGAAGTCTAAAGTGAAATTGAAAGGGGTCTTCCTCAGTGTCCCATTTTCCAGAGGTAGCATTGGCTCCACATAAAGACACTCTGTGAGAAGATAGATGGTTTATATAGAAAATACTCAACATTTCATAAGCTGGCGAAGACAGAAAATCAGTAATAACAAAACGAAAGCCAGCTTGGTCATTAGTACTCTTATCTAAATAATATGAGAAGTCAAATATTTCTTGATACTTGCATTAATGTATACATTTATTGAACTTCTGCCTTGTGGGAATTCTTAATAAAGAATCCCTGAAAATAAATTAAAAAATAAGTTCAAAAAGGAAATTTTATATTTGACCCACAGGTATTGATCTGTGGGTCAAATATAAAATTTCCTTTTTGAATTTATTTTTTAATTTATTTTCAGGGATTCTTGATTAAATAAGAATTCCCACAAGGTAGAAGTTCAATAAATGTATACATTAATGCAAGTATCAAGAAATATTTGACTTCTCATGTTATTTAGATAAGAGTACTAATGACCAAGCTGGCTTTCGTTTTGTTATTACTGATTTTCTGTCTTCTTCTTTTCTGTCTGTAGAATGGTACTTCAATGCAGTTATGGTACTTCCATCTAAATGAAATGAAGAAACAGTAATTCAAAAAGTCCTTACAATTATAATGTACTGTAATTACTGTATGTAATGTACTGTAATGTACTACATATGTTACCTATTGGTTCATGTAATTGCGTACACAACAGTCAAAGGACTGTTGAAAGATTGAGGGTTTTTTTCTTGATATATATATATAAAAAAAACCTCAATCTTTCAACAGTCCTTTAATATCTTTCAAACACAGTAAGTTTGAGTTAAGGCATTCTCATAGAATTCAGCCTGCGGTATTGTTTGGAAATGTTGTGCACATAGGTTTACTACAATAGTTCACTAATAACAGAGATTATTATTTATGTCACTATTTCCAAACTCCAAAAGGAAGTCAAAATGCTTCTGAACTACCATGTAACAGCCACTACCAAGAATGCTATATGTTCAGTAATATTAATGTTGAGCAGGTAAGACTGACCACTCAAGTTTGTTCACAAAGTTTCAGAGGTCCAGAGGCAGGGCAGTCAGCCAAGATATTTCAGTATTTGCCTAAAGCACCTGAACCAAAGAATGGCACCCTGCCCAGATCAGGCACATAAGCTAACTGGATTTGTAAGTGCATCGCAGGGTGACATTTTTTTTCAATATATCAGGGCAACAGGGTAGCAGTGCAAAATAATCCACACAGCAAACATTTCTGTCATCCAACAGGTTACTAATGCTTTCTATCACACATCTGCAGTCTGAGGTAACTGTCTCACTTTGCCTAATGGTAAATCTCACCCTGAACCTGAATCACCAGTCATTGTTGAGATTATATGACTGATGCCTGCAATGTTGAGTTGGCAAGACACTTCTGTGCATGCCTCTTTCTGAAAGAGGGATGGCAATCTCTTTTGGTTTTGATTATACCACTGTAGCTTGCAAGTAAATATACCCTTAAACTCTGTTCAATAATTATGAAGAACCGGCTTCCGATTATAACAGAGTCATTCACACTGGCCCATGAGTCAGCAACTTTTTTAAAAAAGACATTTTGCTTCTTGTCCAAGAAGCTTCTTCAGCTGAGAAACTTCTTCAAAGAAAAACAAGAACGTCCAGTTGCCTCTTGAAAAAGCACCTTTGGGACAACCATGACCTGGATGACTGAGAATCTCCATAGACATAAACCATGTACATATGGAACATATTAGGTCTGACTGAAACTGACATCATTTGAGTGACATGGGGCAAGGAATTAAGTCAAGCACTCACATCACTACTGCAGTTTTCATAATGACTTAAACAGGACTCTAATCTACAGGTAGTCCTCACTTACCAACCGCAGTTGCTAAGTGATATAGTGATATATATGATATATAGTCATAAAGTGAAACATCACATGACTGTGCCATGCTCAGGATGTCAGTTCCACTGCAGTTATTAACCAAATCACCTCAGGTTGTTAAGCGAAATGTTATGTGACCATGACTTGTGACTTCCTGCCATTTTCCACAATGATTTTGCTTGTTGGAAGCCAGCTGCGAAGGTCTCAAATGGCAATCACATGATCATGGGATGCTGCAATCTATTATAAATACATGCCAATTGCAAAGCAATTGGTCTTAAACCTACCTTTTCACTGTGGTCATAACACTGAACTGTTGCTGAATGAAGCAATTGGTAAGTGAGAATTATCTGCAATACTTGAGTTTCTTCCTGTACAGTGTGCCTTATATCTTAAGTGTCTATCCATTATACTGTAATGTTAAATTACATTACAGCATGATGTTAACTATACCGTAATGTAATGAAAAAAACAATTACTACCAACCTGTCTTCAATTGAGGACCCGTATGCTGCACGAGTCAAAAAGAGGGCTGTGAAAATATTTACAGACCCCTCACATCCCAGACATAAACTGTTTCAACTCCTTCCCTCAAAACGCCGCTATAGAGCACTGCACACCAGAACTAGACACAAGGACACTTTTTTCCTGAACGCCATCACTCTGCTAAACAAATATTTCCCTCAACACAGTTCAATTATTTACAAAGTCTGCACTACTATTACTGTTTATTTTCTCATCACTCCTTATCACCCATCCCCTCCCACTTGTTACTGTATCACTGTAACTTTGTCGCTTGTATCCTTACGATTTATATTGACTGTTTCCTAGTATGATTTGATTGCTTATTGTACCCTATGACTATCATTAAGTGTTGTACCTTATGATTCTTGACTCTTGATCAATGTATCTTTTCTTTTATGTATACTGAGAGTATTTGCACCATGACAAATTCCTTGTGTGTCCAATCACACTTGGCCAATAAAGAATTCTATTCTATTCTATTACTGGAAATTGCCATTTATTAGTATTTGCTTTTAAACGCTATGACTTTCTTTGAGTTCTCTCTCTCTCTCTCTCTCTCTCTCTCACCTCGCTTTCACTCTCTCTCTCTCTCTCACTGTCATTCTTCTCTTTCTCTCTCACACACAGAAACAATCTATCTGATTTGAGAAGTTCAGTATATCACCAGTTTCAATTTCTGGGTCAATATCGAAAGTATCATTTCCAGGGCTGATAATTCCTCTCTTGTAGAAGTACTGACATATTGCCATGGGCATCTCTTCAGATCCTCTCTTTTCGTAGGCATGATTTCCAGCAGAAATAGTACGCAGCTGTAAGAACTAAGCGACAAGGGACAACCAGTTAATGGAGCTGCCTGATAATTAAAACTGAGTTAATTAGAGAGGCAAGAGGATGTCTGTGATGGAACATTTCGCTTTTCAGATTTATTGACCTCATGAATCGATTTACAAAGACTAAGGTTCAAATAAAACTCAGTGACATGGATTCAATTACAGAAAACCTCATTTTTATGGGCCAATTGGCTGTGTTACATTTATCACATAAAGCTATCATGAAATTAAAAGGTCTTCATCTCTTGACTCGTTAGAGCCAATACAAGCTATACGGTATAAGAAAACCAATCTGATTTTCCTTCTATTCATATCTGTTCACATATACTTACTTGGCTTTTTTCAAGCTTAGTTTAAACTCGGTGTATATTTTTACTTTTATACAATATAAGGTGAATTTCTTTTAATTTATATATAGAAATTACCTGGTTTATTGTGAAGGAGATCTGGTCATAGACCTCAGTTTGCGTGTATACTGCATAGGTGTCATCCATGCTGTCTGTATAACCTTTCAGGAATAGATGCTTAAAGGATATTGTGTTTTCTTCTTTAAATGCAACCATCATTTGATTGCTTAACCCAAAAACTACAAGCTGAAAATAAACCCCACCAAAAAAGTTATATATTAGCAGTCTATAATGTAAACTTTTCTCCACAAATATTGATCATGCATTGATAATTACAGCCCAAGTCATTAAATGTGGAACTCATATGTTATATGAACTTATATGAACTTATTATCTGTATCAATAGAAAGGGAATATTTCAGCTAAAATACTCAATAAGTCCATTCTGACCACAAGTACATTAATGTGTATAGTTGATGGAGCATTCTGAGCTAGTTCTATTCCTTCCACCATTCCCTATTCCTTCCCTTGGTAGATTCATCTTATTCTGGGAGTATGAAAGGTATCTTATAAATAAATCAGGAACTAAGCACGTAGAAAAGGAGAGCTGGGTAGTATCCCTCCTATTTTACGAATTTTATTTTCATTCAGTGGTCAAAGCCTTCTCTTCTCCTATATTTATGTAACTATATTCTTGTTACACTTATAATTTAGCCCAGTTCAATATTACAACTGTATTATTCTTTTTGATCTTGTATTTGGCTTGCTGAATAAGAACATTGGACAATATTAGTATAGTTCATATTGGACATTTTCATACTGTATTCTGAAAATACAGAGAGACAATAGTTGATGAGCAATGAGCATTTACTAGAAGGTTGAAGACTGACACATATAATAATGAAATGAAACAAAACTGCAGTTGTAATCTTGATATTGTTCATTGTCTCTACTTGACTAATGGTCTATTTTGTCCATTACCCCAATTCAGCACCCATCAGATATTTGGACTAAAAATCCTGTAATTCCTAAACGAGATAGCTATGTTAATTGGCACTCATGAAAGTTCTTATACAACACTGCATTTATTAATTGAATTATGAATTATTACAAATACAGCTTTCCCCTTTGACTTTGCTTGTTGGAAGCCAGCTGGGACGATTGCAAATGCTGATCACATGTCTCTAGGATTATTAGTATATATGCTGGTTGCCAAGCGCCCAAATTCTAATCACATGACCGTGCCATCGTAACTTCAGGCAGCTGCTAAACAAATGGTTATAAGTCGAGGACTATCTGTATTATGGTCTGAACGTTTCAAATACCATACAGATGGTTCTGAAAAAACAAATTCTCAAAGCGACAGTAAATCAGGGTTGCCACTTAACTGGTTATAACTTCTTGAATTTGTACTGTAATAACTAAAAATGTGTGAGTAAAAAAATAATAATTGTACTGCAGCTCTCTACCTCACCTGGATAGTAACCATGGCTATTTTCAGGATTTGTATGCCAAGCTTCCATGGTTTCCTCCCTCGAGCCCAGAATTTTTCACAGGGATTCATAAAGAAAAATTTAAGTTTCCTTCTCAACTGATCTTCTAGAAGCAGGCACATTGATGAATGATGCTTTACATTGTATAAGTTTTCATCATCCTGAGTATTGCAGCTGCCCAAAAGCACTTCAGGATTTTCCATTGCTGGAACAGAAAAACATTAGCAATTTTGGACTGATTAACCAAAAATACTATACATGTATTTGTGAGCACATCTAAAACTCAAGCTGATTGTCTCCTTTAACAATGAGTGAGCGTTTCAACTCTGAGTTTCACCTCTGAACTACAAGTATTACAGCACCTTCCATGCCAGGTTATAGCTAGCCAATGTTATTTCAACAGCTAATCATAGCAGTGAAAAAGATATTAACAGTGAAGAAAAATCAGTTCTCCCACAGTTCTCATGTTCCTGTCATAAAAAGCACTATTTTTGGAACCAAACATAAGGAAGTTTTTTTTCCCATAAACACATTATTTTGTATATCAGTCTTCCTGTTTAGATTTTACAGTTGGATATTGTTTCTCAAAAAAAAAATTTTTTTTTTAATTTCTTTTTTTTTTTCTCCCTTACGTGCACATTTATCCTTGGCTTTTGATTGATTTCTGCAACATCATGAACGGGCTGGGAATCACGGCTTCCGAATGGTCTAAAACAGTGGTCGCCAACCAGTGGGCCAGGAACCACTGGTGGTCTGAAAGAAAATGTTGGTGGTTTGCAGAGAAATGTCACCCCCAAAGCAATTAATCCAGAACACAAGGCTGCACTGCCTACATAGCCCGTGGAAACACAAAGCTTGCATCACTTGCATTGCGAACAACAAGTGGTAGTGAAGGGAGGGAGGAAAGGGCGGAGGGGGGAACTTGCCCCACTCACCCCACACACCTCGCCTGGCCACTGGGTTGCTTCTTTCTGCTTCTTTTTTCTGCTTTTGGCTGCATGCAAGGAAAGCAGCAAAAGTCTTTCTTTCTCTCCCCCAAACTCCGCCAGAAATGAGTCTTTGGGACCCTGCAAGGCATCCTGCTCCAAGAGGCTGCACCGGCACAACAAGTCTCACAAAAACTCATTTCTGGTGGAGTTTGGGAGACAGAAAGAAAGACTTCTGCTGCTTCTGCTGCTTTCCTTGCATGAAGCTAAAAGTCTCTCTCTCTCTCTCCCCCTGAGAACGGAGCTGGAGACGGTATCCTGCAATCCCAAATAAAGAATGTTCAATCGGTAGGAAAATGGGGTGGGGAATTTTCCTGCAACCTTTTTTTTTTAATTTTCCCAGGGTCACTAGTCTGCGGGATTTAAAATTATGAGTTTGGTGGTCCCTGAGGTCCAAAAGGTTGGTGACCCCTGATCTAGAAGCCCAATAAATGAATAATTGTGTGTTCTTTAGGAGATGTGTATTATATGGAACTCCATTCTATTTCTTATTCTCATACAGATTACCCTTTCAGAGTAAAGCCACAGAACAAACCAATTTTTAAATCCAACTTCTTGAAATGCTGTGAGCCAAGAAACTTTAGCATATTGGCAGCCTTCCATAAGCAACTTCCCGGGCTTCTTAGTATTAGGAACCCTAGAAATTACAATATATTCTGTTTTCTCTTAGAATACAAATGTCACAGAATCTGCTTGAACTTCCTTCTAGTTCTATTGACTCTCTCCTTCACAGAAGGCAAGTGAATTATTTAGTGCTGTATTTGCAACATTGGCCTTAATATATCACAAGTTTTTGGTAGAGGACAACACAGTAAAAGCAGATGCAGCTCCATTCCTAAGTAAGTGTGCTCAGAGGCTGGTCCCTCATCTGAAAAATGCTGCTTTCTCCCATTCATGTCTGGGTAGAAAGACAATAGGTAGGAAGCAGATCCACAGCGAGAATGATGACAAGGTGAAGATATTAGAAAACCAGGTTAACTGAATTCAATGAATTTACTCTTAACAGATAACAGATAACAGATAATCAGAGTTGGAAGGGACCTTGTAGGTCATCTAGTCCAACCCCCCGCCCAAGTGGGAGACCCTACACTATTTCTGACAAATGGCAGTCCAATCTCTCCTTGAAAGTCTCAAGTGATAGCGCTCCCACAACTTCCAAGGGCAAGCTGTTCCATTGATTAATTGTTCTCACTGTCAGAAAGTTTCTCCTTATTTCCAGGTTAAATCTCTCCTTGTTCAGTTTCCATCTATTATTCCTTATCTGGCCTACAGGTGCTTTAGAAATAGCTTGACCCCTTCCTCCCTGTGGCAGCCCCTCAAATATTGGAAGACCTCTATCATGTCTCCCCTGGTCCTTCTCTTTACTAGACTAGCCAAGCCCAGTTCCTGCAACCATTCGTTATATGTTTTAGCCTCCAGTCCCCTAATCATCCCGGTTGCTCTTCTCTGTACTTTTTCTGGAGTCTCAACATCTTTTTTATAATGTGGTGAGCAAAACTGGATGCAGTACTCTAGGTGGGGTCTTACTAAGGATTTATAGAGTGGTATTAGTACTTCCCTTGATCTTGATTGTATCCCTCTGTTAATACAATTTAGGATTGCATTAGCTTTTTTGGCTGCTGCTGCACACTGCTGGCTCATATTTAGCTGGTTGTCCACTAAGACTCCAAGATCCCTCTCACAGCTACTGCTATTGAGCCTGGTTTCACCCAGTCTGTATGTGTACTTTTGGTTTTTCTTGCATAAGTGTAGGACTTTACTTTTCTCTACATTGAATTTCATTTTGTTAGATACGGCCCAGTATTCTAGTTTGTCAAGATCCATCTGGATCTTGAGCCTATCTTCTTGGGTGTTAGCTATTCCTGCCAGCTTAGTATCATCTGCAAATTTGGTAAGTTCCCCTTCTATTCCCTCATCTAAGTCTTTAATGAAGATATTGAAGAATACTGGGCCTAAGACTGAACCTTGTGGCACCCCACTGCTTACTTCCCTCCATGTAGACTTAGGCCCATTAAGGACTACTCGATGAGTACGGTTTGCTAGCCAGTTGCGAATCCATCTAGTGGTGGTGCTCTGTTCCACTTTTTTCTAGCTTACTAAGAAGTAGGTTGTGGTCTACTTTGTCGAATGCCTTGCTGAAATCTAAATATATTATGTCCACAGTATTTTGCTGGTCTACTAGTTTAATCACTGTGTTGAAGAATGAAATGAGATTGGTTTGGCATGATCTGTTCTTAACAAACCCGTGCTGACTGCTAGTTATTATTTTACTTGTTTCTAGATGTTGGCAGATCTGTTTTTTATTATCTTTTCCAGTATCTTCCCGGGTATTGATATTCGGCTGATTGGTCTATAGTTTCCTGGGTCTGTTTTTTTTCTTCCCTTTTTTGAAGATGGGAACCACATCAGCTCTTTTCCAGTCCTCTGGTAGTTCCCTGGTGCTCCAGGATTTTTGAAAGATATGGTGCAGTGGTTCTGAGATGACCTCTGCCAGCTCCTTTAAAACTCTGGGATATAATCCATCAGGCCCCAGTGATTTGTTTTCATCAAGATCAGACAGGTGTTCTCTTACTATTCTTTTGCTTATTTTAACTTTCGTTTCTGGTCTGTCTTTTACAGTTATGTTTTTGGTGGGTTGAGCTATAGTTTCTTTTTGCGTGAAGACGGATGCAAAGAATGAGTTAAGCAGTTCTGCTTTCTCTCTGTTGCCTGCTACTTCCTTGCCATCTTCTATCTTTACAATCAGTTGACTGACTGTTTCCTTGGTTTTTTTCTTTTTATTTATATGTTGGAAGAAACTTTTTTTAATTATCTTTGACTTTTGTTGCAAGTCTTTGTTCGTTCTGAGCCTTTGCTATCCTGACTTCGTCTTTGCAGATTCTGGCTATCTGCTGATATTCTGCCTTAGTTGTATGTCCTTCTTTCCATTTTTTGTACTTGTCCTTTTTTTCTTTCAATTTGCCAGAGAGATCTTTGTGCAGCCATGCTGGTTTCTTCTTGGATTTTCTGTTTTTCTTTCTCAGTAGTATTGTGCTGGTCTGGGCTTCTATGATCATACTTTTTAGAGTTTCCCAAGATTCTTGAATTGTTTTCCCCTTTAGGATTTTCATCCATGGAATATTTCCCAAGTTCTCTCTGAGTTTATTGAAATCAGCTCTTTTAAAATCCAAGACTCTGGTGTCATTATGTTCTGTTGCTTGTATTTGTGTTATGTTGAATTCTAGTATGACATGGTCACTCTCACCCAAGGCTCCTGCAGTTTCAACTCCCTCTATCACTTCTTCTCTGTTTGTAAGAATTAAGTCCAGCATGGCTGTCCCACTAGTTTCACCCTCTACCTTTTGGACAACAAAGTTGTCAGCTAGGTTGGTTAGGAACTTATTTGATTTCTCACTTGGTGCAGAATTAGTTTTCCAATTGATATCAGGATAATTGAAGTCTCCCATTACTATAATTGTGTATTTCCTGCATATGTTTGTTAGTTGGCTGGCAAAAAGGACATCTATTTTTTCTGCTTGATTGGGTGGCCTATAATATACACCTATGGCCATGAGTACTGTACTCTTATATGCACGTACAGTACTCTTGAGTACTGTACGTGCATATAATTGTACTATTGGTATTTCTATGAAAAACAAAAGAAGCAATATTTGGAGAACAGGTTCCTATGCATATGAAAGACAAAGAATATAATTTATAATGCAGTATCTTCCTTCCCTTCCTTTCCCCGGTCCAGGATCTATATTATGTGGTAGATTCCTCAATTCATTTCTTTCTCTCTCGAAAAGCACCAACAAACAATATCATATCAGTAGATGTACAAAGCACAAAACATATCCATGTCAGAAATTTTTATATCAATGAGATATGTTGATATATGCAGGTAAATGGGAGAAAAATCATTAAAAGTGATCTCATTTGACGCTGGCATTTAAATGAGAAGTGATTTTCTGCTCATTCTAAAATATTAAAATATTTTTATATATGAAATCATTTTGTGGGATCTATCATATTTGGGTAAGGTGACTGTCTATTCCTATTGCCTTATTAAAGTCGTATCAATCCAGTAATACTGCCAACCCAATAGGGATGCTCACAATCTCACAAAGTACAGTAAAACCCATGCAAAACTGGTCCTAATCCCAATTTATTTATATAAATGTTGTGGTCCACTTATTAAATATAATGCTAAATATTCTCTTTCTTTATTGATTTACCCTTAAACTGTCAAATCAGAGCTACATGAAGTATCTGTATGCACAGAGTTAATTAGTGAATATAAAGTCCCAGAATCCACTTTTGGTACCATCATTTGAAAGTGATCAGAATTAGTTTAGTTTACTTTATTGTCACTGCACCTCGTACAACGAAATCAAACACCATCTTCAGTGCACATCATGACCATGAAAATAAACACAAACACACATCCTTCACCCTTCACACATTGAACCCGAAACCCCCGACACCACATCAACACAGCACTATACAGCAGAATTCAAAAGAGGTACTGCCTGAGATAGAAGCTGTTTTTCAGCCTATTTGTCCTTGTTTTTATTATTCTTTATTATTAAAAAAAGAACCGGAAGCCAGTAATGTAATCATATCTTTAAGTTGAATTTTATTACTGATGACAACATGGATAGATTTATAAGGTGGTTTTTTGGGGCTACAATATAGAAATGGTCTTGCCACTGCCTTCTAGGATTTTTTAACTAGCCTATACATGAGATTCTTCACAGACTTCCATCTAAATACTAATTACCAAGTAGTCCCAACTCCACTGTTCAACTGGACAAGGTGGTATCACTTGTTGAAACTCTTGATTTAGTTGGCCAGATTTTTCAATTCAATACAATTACTATATTTTCCATGTAATTATTAGGCTTGTATACAGGGAGTTCAGAGTAGCTTTATTAAAAAACTTAGCATGGTAGATTTAGCTGGGCATCTATGGTTTGTCAACACTAATATATGAGTGTCTCACAGAAGCAGAATCTAAATTTCTGACACTGAGTCTCAATTATTCTAGCTACTGATGGATTATACCATACCCTGTAACTAAAAACCACTTCAAGGAACTAAACTGTTCTATAAGCTAAAATTAAAAAGCCAGCTGAATCTGAAAAGGGTGTTATGATTAACCTTGTACTACTCAGTTGAAGTTAAAAACAAAGTTCTAGAAAACTTTTGTTCATTCACTTAGACATTGCAAGCATTTTAGCTTCTTCCACAATTTTGAAAATTATTCATGTATCCTTCAAATAAAAAATAGCCTCTTGGGTTTTTTGTCTTTGTCTTTGTAGATATGCAGCGTGATCATGCTTGTGGAAATGATAAATAGCCATGACTCATCTGCATAACCAGTAACATAGTGTCATTCATTAAATGATTTTAAAGAAAGGACATATAGAATTAATATTACCTCTACAATATAACATAAGACAACAATAACTCCACAACAATTTTAATCTGAATGGGAAGGAATATATTTTAGCATCATCCAGGGTTTTTTTTATTTAAGAACTCTCCTCTAAGATGTCCAGTTGAAGAAACTTAACACCAATTACCTAAAAAGGAACCTACTGTACAAAGAAAGGGCATATAGATTTAATATTACCTTCACAATAAAACATAAGACAGCAATATATTCATATAACTTTTCATTTGAAAGGGAAGGAAGGTATTTTATTATTATCTGGGGTTTTTTAATTCAAGAAATCTTCCAATTGAAGAAACTTTTTAAAATGCCAATTTATCCAAGGAGGAATCTAAAACAATGCCCACCTATCTAAGAACTTAACCTTAATTAGAACAATGAATATTTCCATTAAGCCAACATAGGCATACAGGGGTGAATTAAATTAGGTTTTAACAGTTAATTGACCACTTCTATACAAATTGGTATTTGAATGAAACTACAATTTTGAAGGAAAAAAGGATGCCACCTTCATGTTTAGATGGCATATACTTCAGTATGTGCAATTTTAGAAAAATCATTTCCTTCAGGTAGCAGCAGAAAGAGGGGAGGATGTAAACTTAAGAGTTTGTCTGAAGTACAGAAGCATCCTTTTTGAGAAAACAAACGTGACATTAAATAAATATTAAATAATAATTATTAAAAAAATACTCAAAAACCGCCCAATTATGAGAGAGAAGAAGAGCTTTTTTAGTAGAAAGGTTTCAAAAAATTAAATTAAATATGTTGCCCTCCCTCCTTCCAGCGACAGCGCTCAGTCCTGGAATTTTACTTCTTCGTCCTTTATAAACCTTCCTCGAAAGGTTCCCGGGGCACCAAAGAAAAGCAAGCTTCGTCCCGCGAAGGGTCTGCTTTAAAAACACGGCTGGGACCCCCCGCCTCTCCCTGGCCTAGATCCATAATTCAGAAGCGCGATCGGATCCCACCACAGGCAGTCCATTTTTTCCTCCCCTTTTTCTCTGTTTAGGAAGCCTCTTGCTCCCACCATCCAAAGGAAGGACATAAGCGCCCGCCGACCCCAGACTCACCTTTCCAAAAGAAAGTGGCACCGCTGGTGCCAGGGCGCCCCTCGCGTGCCTTGAACCCTTCCCTTGCCTGGGGAGGGGAGGGGAGGTGTTTTGTTGTTGTTGTTGTTGTTTTAGACCTACTTCAGCCCCGGCAGGTGAAGCTGGTTTCTGGAAGCGAGCGAGCGCCGGGGTTGCCTTACATCGCCGCCAGGCAGAAGAGTCACCTGAGCCTCGCGCCAAAGCAAAGGCGAAGCGACGCAGGACGTGGCGGCTTCGGCCCAACACCGCTGCCAGAGCCGTGCCTGGGGAGCATCCCCAGAAGCCGGGCGATGAGAAGCAGCCGGAGATTGCAGGAGGGAGAAGCTGCTCCTCTGCGCCGGCGTCACGTGACCGAGGAGAGCTTCTTCTGCCGCCCGCCTCGTCAGCCTCCTCCTCCTCCTCGCCCAAAGGCAATGCGATCCGAGGCCGGCCAGCCAGCTGCCCCGCCCGGCCGCAAACCGCGGCAGGCCTGACGGATTGCTTGGGGAGAAGGCGGCATCTTCTTTCCATCGCCCCAGGTTTCCTAAATCGATCGTTTTGCAAGCTGCCTCTCTCTCCAGACCAGGAGCGGCCCGAGGATGAGGTCTCCATTTGGGACAGAGATCCAGAAGAAGACCTGATTTTCCAGATTTTGAATGGGGCTGTAATGCACTGAGAAACCGCCCCTGCCTGTAAACGGCTACTGGATTAAAGTGACTTGTTATTAAACATGCTACTAACCCTACTTCGATAGCCTTACTAGTGCCCATCTGTCCCAAAGGTGCTTTTTAAGGAAACAACTGGACTTGCTTGTTCTTTGAAGACATTTCACTTCTGATCCAAGAAGCTTCTTCAGCTCTGACAGGATAGTGGGGAATGGGAGGATTTATATCCTTGCAGACAAGCTAGTCATTTGCATCCTTTTAGAGAATCCTTGAAGCCCTTGGAGGTTTATCTGTGTCCTGAATAGTGCTCCTGCTCCCTTTGAATGGTGTAGGAGTAGGAGTGGATTTCCAGAGAAAAATGGCAGACTACAGGAACTAGGAACACTACTCGGTGATCCTGAAGACACAGATAAATCTCCAAGTGCTTCAAGGACCCTCTAAATGGATGCAAATGACCAGCTGTCTGCAAGGATATAAATCCCATTCCCCACTATCCTGTCAGAGCTGAAGAAGCACCTTAGATGAGAAGTGACATGTTTTCGAAGGAAAAAACAAAAAGGTCCAGTTGCCTCTTGAAAAAGCACCTTTGGAATAATCATGGCCTGGATGACTGAGAATCTCTACAGGCTTATAGTGGCCATTGGAAATTTGCCCCCAGTGTTTATAGTTTTCTGCTCTACAAAGCTGTGTTGGTAGACCCACACAACAAAGGAGTACACTTTCAAGCAACTGATGAACATGACCACCAATCAATCAATTCAATTCAACCTTTATTGTCAATGCACAACGTGTACAATGAGATTGGCTGAGCCTCCCTTAGTGCACTCCCCCCAGCATAAATACGTATCAATAACTCACAGTGGAGAAAGAAAATCCAGAACCCAATAAATTGGTGATGGCTAACCTCTTTGTTGTCGCGTGCCAAAAATGAGCGTCTGTGCCCGTGACAGCGCGTACGCATGCCTGCACCCATAATGCAATGCACGTGCGACCCCCCTCCCGCTCCCCCACCCCCCTGCGCATGCGCATACAGCTCCCGCATCTGCCCTGCCCCCCACGCATGCACAGATAACTGAAAATCGGCTGGCGGGAAGCATACGCCCATTGAAACTGAGCTGGGGTGACAGCTCGCATGCCCGGAGAGATGGCTCTGCGTGTCACTTGTGGCATGTGTGCCATAGGTTCACCATCACGGCAATAAATCATAATAACGCACAATCCTCTATACATATATGTGCATAACTGTTCTGCTTATTAATGTTTGGATGGCATAAAGCAGACAGAGTAACTCCACAAAGCATACATACAAAGTTTTTTTTTATTGGTTCATCGGGCATCCTGTCAACTCACATTAAGACAAGGTTCTTCTTAATGTCCAATCCTTTGCATATCTGAATTGTGGTGTAGAAAGATGGTTATCTCTTTCATCCCATATCATAGAGGCAGTGGGTAGAGCTGCTACCACAAGGCTGTGTTCAGGCAAGAGTGAGGGAGCCTCCCCCAACCCAACAAGGGTCAATTTAGTGACCAATCAGGATTACAGATGTGGCCACATGACATGAACTACATTTCCCTTGATGCATTCCCTTAAGGGGACAGCTCACAATTCCTAACTATCCCAAATCCCATTAACTCTAAACCAGGCTTGTCCAACTCGCGGCCCACGGGCCGCATGAGGCCCAGGTCGCCTCGTAATGCGGCCCAACCTTCGTGAAAGATCCAGCGAGGAGGAGGAGGAGAGGCAGGCGCGAGGTGGGGCGAGGTGAGCAACAGAAAAGGCGGGCAGCCGCAGCCCAAAAGTCCCGCCCCGCCACCTCCTGCTGTTGCCGCCGCCACCGCTGCTGCTTCTGCCCCCGCCGCCGCTGCCGCCGCTGCCGCTTCTGCCCCCCCGCCGCCGCCGCCGCTGCTTCTGCCCCCGCCGCCGCCGCCGCCACTGCTGCTTCTGCCCCCGCCGCCGCCACCGCTGCTGCATTTGCAGGAGGAGAGGTAGGCGCGAGGCAGGGCGAGGCGAGCAACAGAAAAGGCGGGCAGCCGCAGCCCAAAAGTCTCGCCCCGCCACCTCCTGCTGTTGCCGCCGCCGCCGCCGCTGCTGCTTCTGCCCCCGCCTCCGCCGCCACCGCTGCTGCATTTGCAGGAGGAGAGGTAGGCGTGAGGCGGGCGAGCTTTCTTCCCCCCCCCCCCCCCCCCCCCCCC